TAAACCCCTCTTCACTTATTTCTTTAATTTTGCTTATTTTCAGTAGTGTTTAGTGTTTTGCTTAGTTATTACATATAATACTCTTTAATTGTATCTAATAAAGGTACCATTGTATTTTAACCCGTGGTCTTTTGTGTTCATTTTACACAGTGAACGATTTATCAGTCAGGTTGGATTCACTCTTCTTTCAATAGCATCTGAATGAACAGAGACACGTTTATTTGGTTGGTGATTAATAACGTTGCCAAGAGCCATAGCCTGAATTACTAAATTGGTGAAAGAACACCGGATTTTTAATAGCCAGATTCAGGAGTCTAACCTTTTAGGAAAGGGGCTAAAACCCTGGTCAGTAAGCAAATTACAGTTATAATCATTCAACCGATAATAAATAACAAGTCTTACCCTTGATTTGAATGGCCTATTAATTAACTATAACTTCCAGTTCTAGTTATTTAAAATATTCATGATCTTCTGATTTTCACAACAGCCTTCAAACGAGTTCTCTCTAAGGCTCTGAGGTTCTCATGGTGGAAGCTGATGGCTACCAAATGCAGACATGTCAAGTAACAAAGTAGAAATACTTAATTTCTTGACTTTAGTAGAAATGTTGGCTATCTATTCTTTACTGGAGTAATTGAATTTCAGACATTTTACTTTCTACTCCTTACATTGTAAAAAATAGTCTCGTTAGTTTCGTTTCATTTAAGCTCATTTTCATTACGGCCTGTTGGCATTTAAAAAAAAAATAAAAACCATCAAAATAATTAGTTTCTTCCAGGCAATTAATTTATTTGTGGTTGGACTCGGTGCTGCCCCAACTTGTTGTTCACCACATACCAATATAAATTGTTTTTCAAGATGATGCAAAGTTAAATTTGACACTGTTACCATTAGTTATAAAACTAAAGAAATTGAAGTTTAAGGAAGTTATCATCCAGAATTATAGAAAAATTTTGTTTTAATAGGGTAGAGCAGTAAAGCTTCTGGCCTTAACAGTTTTTACTGCATTACTTTTACTTTTATACTTTACTTAGTTTTAAAAATGGTACTTTTACACTTTTACTGGAGTGAAAATCTTAAGTTAATCCTCTAACTTCAACAAAAGTGTTTTTAAACACTAGGATTTATACTTCTACTGGAGCAACCTACATTAATAGTTTTGACACCTCTGACCATGTGGTAGCACAGACCATCCCAGTGTGATGCTGGAGGATGCTCTCCTCATGTTCTCGACAGTGTCTCTCCTCTGGCGTCACCATGAGCGAGTGAACTTGTTCCAGTCAGGCTCAGTGTGTCATCCTGAAGGGCGTGGGGCTGGAAGCACAGCTAGCCGTGGACGACATCAGGCCTTCAGTCACCGTTATGGAGACTGTTTGGGACGGTCTGAGCAGAAACATGGATATCAGGGGCCTGCAGGAGCTCATTTTGCAAGAGCTCATTTTGCTGGAGGCAATTTTGCTGTCATCTTGTGTAGTGGTGCTCCTATGGACCCCTCGGGTCCTGGGCTGTCTCCTCCATGCTATGGACCCTGTGCTGAAGGACACAGCAAACCTTTGTGCCTCAGCTGGCATTATTGTACCATCCTGGCTTAGCTCCACTCCCTGACCAACCTCTGTGGGTGAAACTGATTCAGGCTGAATTACTCTGATGTCAGGTTTGGATCAGGAGATCCCACCTAGTAGGAAAACCTTCATTGATGCGTTCAAAGACATTTCTATATATTTTTTTACCTTCTGCTTTTGCAGAAGCTCCCAGAAGTGAACAGAGGGATTTCCACAGAGAGCTTTCCGCCTTACGAGTGGCTCTAGATAACGTCGCCATGGCGGCCTCTGGATCCAACATGTCTCTGGTTCAGTGGAAGGTAGGGGAGCTGCTGGTTCAGAGCTTCACGGCAGGAGCGGCTGAGTGGTTTGAACTTTGTTTGGTGTTTTCTGTGAACAGCTCCAGAACTTCCCAGCTCAGCCACACTACCTGGATGGCTTTGAGGTTCTCTATCGCTCCCTGCTGCCTGCCAGCTCCGACTGGGCAGGAAAGAAGGTCTCACTGCCGAGCTTCCAGACGCAGGTGGGACCCCTGAAGAGGGGCTACAAGTATGAGTTCAAGGTCCGTCCTTATGGCAGCAGCTTGTTTGGAAGGGAGAGCAACACCCGGCATCTCAGGGTCCCTGAGACAGGTGAGGAAGGCTTTAACACTTTTCCCTCCACCTAAATTCATCAATTTAAACCGACTCATTTCATTCAAACAGTGCCCAGTGCCCCCCCACAGGCAGTGTCCATAACAGTGGACCATGAGAAGAACAACAGCATCCGTCTGAGCTGGGAGCCTCCTCCTCATGACAGCCACAATGGGGTCCTCCAGGGCTACCAGGTACTCCAGGTTATTTCTATAGCACTTTCCAGATCATCCAGTCAGATTGATTAAAAGTTT